CTCTGTGAATTGTCCAAGCCTAAGTGGCATATCTAGGATGCAACCTTGGTACCTAAGACCACGGAACATAGAACAAGGGAGGAAGAGAACACTAATGCAATTTCAATTCTCATCAATGAAGCTTCCTCAAGCAACAGAAGGCCAGGAACACAAAAGGACACCAGTGGCCAAAACCCAGAGAATAAGAGTCAGCAGAGTGTGGGTCCTTGGACAGGACTCCTACATTGAGGTCCACCCACCCAGGACTCAGGGACCATTGTAAAAGAGGGAGTGGAAAGCCGGGCGTGGTGGCACACGTCTTTAATCCCAGCACTAGGGAGGCAGAGGCAGGTGGATCTCTGCTAGTTCAAGGCCAGTCTGGTCTACATAGTGAGCTCCAGGACAGCTGGGGCTACAGGGAGACCCTGTCTCAAAAAAGACCAAAAAAAAAAAAAAAAAAAAGAGGGAGTGGAAAGATTGTAAGAGCCAGGGAGGAAGTGCAAGACCATATGGAAACAGTCCTACAGGCGCCTGGGACCCTTCTCATATAAACCTACAGCAATGGTGTCAGCATGTAGAAGACCCATACAAACTTAGGCAGACAAAAACCCAGCACAGAACTGTGGAAATAAACAGCAAGCCCCAATCTTAGTTGAAAAACTATTGGTAGCTGGTTATTGCTGAGTGAGGAAGAGCTGATCTTCTTGAAGGAAGAGGCTCTAGATAGGCTGACTAAACCCTGGCGGATGAACTTGCACTGAGGGACATCTTGGGACATTAACTTTACATAGTAGGCCTTAATACAAATGACAGAATATGAACTCTAGTGGGGGGCTATGAGAAGGTGCCAAAGTGGGAGAGGGAAGAGGGCACAAAGATGATTCTATGTATGAAATATAGAAAAATTCAATAATTTTGTTTTTTAAAGAATACTATAAGGCCTTCCTGCTATGCTGGAACTCAGTAGGTTGAAAATTCAGTCTTTTGGCCACTTAATTCCACAGCTTCTTTTGTCAAGGAGATTGTAAACTTCTTGAAGGGAGATGATCTTAGAGAGCAGATCTAAGAGTGGTCTCATCTTCCAGGTACAGAAACCAGAGCCCAGATGGAGGCAATGTCATACAGCAGGATAAGGTCAGGTGTCACCTGGAATCTCATGAGTGCCTTGTGCATCTTCTGTATAGTGTGCTTCCAATAACTACGCCTTGATTTTCCTGTTATTTCACATTGGCTTTTCTTAGTTCCTGGTTCTTTTCTCATGTCCCATTCTCTACCACCAGTGGCTGCCTAGGGGATCGATTTGTACCTGCCTTCTGGGAGATGGTCTTTGGGGTTGGGTACTGGAAGCTGAGATGAGGCAGGAGTGATATTTAAGCTGGGCCCACTGAGCCAGTATCTCTTAGGCCAACACCACCATAACACAGCACAGACACCAGAGTAACACCTTCCTTCAAATTGTACAATGAAGCCACTCTAGTTCCCATCAAATGTCATTGCTTCCGCAGTGTTCCCAGACCAATGCTATACCCCAAGGAGTTGGCTTTCTGTTGACTTCCTTCCAATGAGAAGGTACACATGGTTGTCAATCCACTTTTCTCCCAGAAGCCTTTTTTGACCATTGCAGCCTCCTGGGCACCTTCAGTTCACTGTAAGTCACCTTACACAGTGGGGCATCTCAGGCCTTTCCTAGGTGTCATTCTGGCTCTCAGTTCCTGAAGGCATTCTGATGGCTTCCTACCATGTCCTTCAATTAATGTAAGGGGACGGAGGGCAAAGATCTACAGTAAAGTGCTTGCTTAGCCCACTCCTTTCTACTCCCAAACCTGTCACAGTGTCATTTCCCCAGAACTCTCCCAGTTTTTAAACTCTGAACTCAATTACTTCTCTGCAGCTTTCCCGGTGAGTGCTATAGGAATGACATGGCAGGGAAGGAAGGTCCTGATGAGAGCCAAGCCTACCTAGGGCTCTTCTGTCTGAAGGATACACAGGGTCTTCATCCCAAAGTCCCCATTCCAGCCAGCAAGGTCTGTCACCAGAAGCTGTTCTGGAGAGCTCTCAGCAGAAAAACACAAATGTGCAGGTTGGAGGAGAGAGTGAATAGAGGGGCTCAAAAACGTTAGTGATGGTCAAGTATATTGGGAGAGAGCAGGGGTCCAGGCTCTGAAAACATGGAAAGTAGGAGGTAGTTTGATTGACACCTGTGCAGTGTCTCATGGCACTGTCCAGAGAAGGAAGCCTTGAGTGGGACAACTCACTATGAGAAGTGGGGTGTCTTTAGGAACCTTAGTCAGCTAATGGGAAAAGGGCAGAACTAGGCCAAGAGACCTTAAAGACAAACAGAACCTATTTCCCATATTAGGATAAGCAGCTCAAGATTCCTCCCTGCTATGTAAGTTCTGCTGGCCTGCATCTACAGAAAGAAAAATGAGGATCCATATGGAATATGGACCTCCAGGAAGACCCAGTGTAAAATTACCTTTAGGTCTCCCAAGGCCAAGAGTGTTGAGCGAACTGCTCAAGGTCATCTTATCTAGAGGTTAAGTCAGTTGCCTAAGGACACAGAGTCAGAAGGGATCCTGTCAGGATTCAAACCCAGGGGTCAGGCTGACTCTGAGCCTGTTGTCCCAGGTTCACCCCAGCCCCATACCCAACAGAGGTTCACAAGTGCTCTGTGTGGATGTTTTATAGTTCACACATCGCTTGGCCTCTCCTCACCTCTTAGGGTGTGATTTAAAGTGAGAGCAAAGCCAAGACCAGGCGATTCATTCTTGATTCCTTTGCAGGTGGTGTGCCTGTCACCAGATCTGCAAACTTAGCACTGACATCAAGGTAAGGAAATGGAAATTTGCTAAAAGGCTAGAATTGGGTACTATTAGTTAATATTTTGTAAATCCAGGAAACCATCCAGATATCGGAGCATAAAAATAACTCACTGCTGAGCCAATGAGGCATAATGCTAAGGACAAAACCTGGGGAAGTCAGGTTTAATTGTATTCCTTTGGTGATTGGGGGAGGGTATGGGAGACTGGGCCTCCTACCAGTTGTTGGTTGTGAATGATATGCTAGGTCTCTAGGCCTGCGGCTTCTTTGAGTGTGTGTGTGTGTGTGTGTGTGTGTGTGTGTGTGTGTGTGTGTGTGTGTGTGTCTGTCTGTCTGTCTGTCTGTCTGTCTATGAGTGACACCCACCATGCCCTTTGGTTCAAGAATCAAATGAGCTCTCTACAGGATGTGGATGTGTATTCTTCTTTGCTTTCCACGCATGGCCTGTTTCATTCAGAGTCTCAAGTTCTCAACCAAACACAATTCCACCTATCCCTCTCTCCAGGTCCATTCCAAGTCCTACCCCTTCTGGAAATCTGTCCTAGGCTTCTTTCCGCCTCTACACTCACCTTCTAGCCATCACTTCTTTCTACACTGTCCTTTTCCCCAGCAACCTATCCACCATGTCCAGCCAAATTGCTGGGACTTGTAGAATTAGCTCCCTTTCCTTTAATCTGGAGCCTTTATACTCTGTAGCCTTAACAAATGCCTGCTCCTTCGCCCTTGTTAGAAACCTGGAGAGGATAGAGCTGGAGAGAGATAGAGCTGGAGAGGATAGAGCTGGCTCAGCAGTTAAAGAGCTGGTACTGTGGGGCAGCTCACAACCACCTGTAATTCCAGCTCCAAGGAATCCCTCTTCTGGTCTGAGGGCACCTGTACACCAAACAAACAAACAAACAAAAACAAAACCCAAATCTTAAACCTTAGTAATTCATTACTCAAGTACAACATCCCCCAGGAAGCCTTCCCAGACTCTCCTCAGTGCATTCACTGGCCATCCTAGATGCTCCTCTGGAGGTTCCATAGTGCTTTGTGCGTGTCCTTGTGTTAAGCATTTACTTACCCATTATCCTTTCTCTAACTGTGATTCTCCTACCAGACTGAACTCTGGGAGAGCACAAACTGAGTAGGAGTTTTACTTGTCCACATTTCCAGGAGCGCTCACCAAATGTTTTACAAATTCTAAACGGATTTCTCCAGCATTTCCATGTGTCACAGCACCCCCAATGTGTACCTGATGCCATAGCTTGAACTAATCTTAGTTTAAAAAAATTATTTTTATTTTATTGTATGCATGTATTGCCTGCATGTAGGTAAGTGCACCTGTGTTGTGCACTGCCCATGGAGGACAGAAGAGGCTGTAGGATCCCCTGAACTGAACTTACCGACAGTTGTTAGCTGCCATGTGGGTGCTGGGATTCAAACCAGTGTTCTTAGCCGCTGAGCCGTCTCTCCAGCCCCAGAACTAATCTTAGTTTTAACCCAAACAGTGGAGATCTAGATAAGTGATGACTGGATTACCCACTGCATCAAATTCTTTTAGCTACCATGTCCCAGCCTTTAGTATGGCCAATGGAAAATTAATTGGTTGCAAAGTGCATAGCTAATTACAACATCTCACCCCCTGCCACAGCATTGCGAAAATGTTAATTGTAACATATGCATCTCAATAACTGACGGTGGCATTTAAGGCAGCATTAATAACGCCCCCCCTCCCCCCACTGCAGACACAATGCTCCCTCCTATTTGCCATTTGGACAGACTTTACACTTTAAGAGCATAAGTCCGCATCCTTACAGCCTTCCTGATTCTAAAGCCAAACGTTTCTCTTTGAGTCCGGCGACGCCCCCAGTTCTGCCTCCTATGCCATAGGTCCCACCCAGGGTCCCGTCTGCGCCGGAGGTTTTTGGGGAGCGGGCATTCGAGTCGAGAGACCTATCAGTGCGGGCAGCTCAGACGGCATCCCCAGCATCCCTGCAGCTCCCAGCTCTCCAGGGCCCGCCATCCCGGGAAAGAAAGACGAACTACATTACCCAGCAGGCTTGCCGCCTCCCTCTTTCCTTTCAAGTCTTTGCACGTGGCCGGAGGGGGAGGTGGGGCCTGGACGTCACTCTCCAACATTCTCTTTCCCTGTGTCAGAACAAGGATCATTTTTTTCCTTCCTCTACACCCTCCCTCTGCCCGCCCCTCCCTCCCTCTCTCCCTCCCCTCCCTCCCTCCCCGCTCGGCTGCTGGGTCGGTGCGCTGGGGTGCCCGGTCCCCTTACTGCTGGGACGCACCGAACTCCCGGCCCGAGTCGGCTCTCTGGAGCCTGGTCCCTCCCTTCCCCTTCCCGGCCCCCTTCCCCCACCCCCGACGCGGGCTTGGCGCGGCGGCCGGAGGAACCCCGAGGTGAGCATCCCTCGTCCGCCCTCCTCTTTTAGTTACCTCGGCTAGCGGGTGGATGGGGACCGCGGAGGATGTGCTTTTGCTTACAGATAAATCGGGAAAACCGCCCCGAACAATTCGCCCCCTTCCCCCTCCCGTAGCTTTCAGCGAGGCGGGCGTCCGCACCCATCCATCGTCCCCTCCTCCCTGTCTGGAGGGGACCGCACTCCCAGATCTCGACCCTCCCGGGGTTTGTCCGGTTGCGGGCGGGCGCGGTTGGGGAGCCGCGGCCCTGGGGCTCCGGAGCGCAGACCCGCTCCGGGGACGCGCGGCTGGAGCAGGACTGGCTCTGGAGCAGCGCGGTGGAACCGCTGTCATGTGCCGGGTTCCGACCAGCCGGGAGGAAGCGAGCGAGCCAGATTTCTCTCCCTTTTGTTTTGGAGCAGCAATTGCTGCCCCAAGCAGTTGCTCCGGTACCAGGCAAACTTGCAGCTGTTCGAGCGCGCGCCGAGGAAGGAGCGCGGCCCGGGTGGCGGCTGCGGGCAGCGGCTGCAGCACAGGGCGCTGCGGGAGGGAGCCCGCGAGTGTCTTCGCGTCGCCCCTCCCTGCCGTGTCGCTGGCTTGTAGCTGTGGCCGCCGCCGTCCCCGCGGGCTCAGGGATGTCTGTGGATGCCTGTGGTCTAGACAGCCAGCGGAGCCCTCCCTCCGTCCCAGTGAGCCCACAGGCCGCGGAGGGCGCTGCTATGGGCACAGAGGAGGGACACGAATTGGTGTATCCATTGCGGTGGCAGCTTTGGTCGTTCCCCGCCGTTGTGATTCTATGGCCACTGTGTTATCCGGCTTGGGGACTAGATCGGCCTGGCGGAGCCGGGGTTAAGTTGACAGCCTCCAAAAAGCCAGCTCTGACTGGCGAGTGACCCGCCTGGCTGCGAGGTGGGCTCATCAGGGGAATTAGCGGGTGACCGTCTAGGGCACGGGTTTGCGGGGAGGACTGGGGCGGTGGCCTGGCTACCGCGGATGTCTAGGGGATCCGAGGGCCGCGTGCTGGTGCCTGGATGCGACCGGAGGAGGCGTCTCCCGGATCCGGCGTCCGAACTGGTTATTTATCGAAATTAAAGACAATCAGGACTCCAGCCCCTTGTCTGGGCCGCACTGGCTCCGGGTGCGCGGAGTTTCCTGGGTAAGGGCCGAGGGGCGTGTGAGCAGGGAAGGGGGCGCGGCATGTTGAGGGGACGGAAGGATGGCGCCGTGTGCGTGCCCATCCGGAGGGAGGCGTCGCCTCCCCCGCCCAGCTGTTTTGTGTGTACACGCTGCTCCGTAGTGGGGACCCGCGTGGGCCGGAAGCCTCTCGGGATCTGCCCAGCCAGCCCCAAACGATGTGAGGTTGGGCTGTCTTGCATGTGTCCACGCTGAGGTTATTTGGAGAGAGAATCATGCAGCCGTGGGTCGGGGAAGACCTTAGGGTGGCATGGGTCTGCGCGGGAGTCCCCAGTCTCGTGCAGCCCAGCCCCTCCTTCCGTGTCTCCCTTGTCCCTGCAGCCGGCCACCAGCTGGCTGGGGAGGATCTTCGGGAGCTCTGCGGCGCCTCCCGCCACTCACAGTCGCTGACCTTAGCCCGGAGTCTCCTTGTGTTGCTCGTGCCCGCTGCTGCCTTCCTAGACCCTGGGGAAGGAATCCACCCGCATGGCAACCTCTCCCCGCCCCCAGTTGTACAGCCTTGCAGACCTGGAAACCAAAGTCTGCCCCAGCCTAGGCCCAGTCTGGCTCTGCCCGCAGCCTGTGGGTCATACGCCACTGCCTGCCCCGTCTGGCCCGCTGTCATCTCGGTGACTCTGGGATTATCTCCCCTTGACTAGGGGTTCCTGCACAGCCTGGAAGCCTCCAGAGCTGCGGTCTTGGAGGTGGCTGGAGCCTCCCCAAGACGAAAGTGACACAGCTCGAGCACCGCCTCTGCTGGGAAGAAGGCGTGGCCCAGCACTGGGAGGGACTCCAGACTGTCCAGCCCGGTTCTTCCAGCCCAGTCTTGGGGCTGGGCCCAAACCTCTGGAATCCAGGCTTCCAGCAGGCCTGGGCCCTGATAGGAAATCGCCTAGATTTTTCACACAACCCAATTATAAAGGAACAAAATGCCCTGAATAGCCGCTAGAAGGTAGCAGGACTCTCAGTGGCCCCAAGAAACTATTTGAAGCAGGACTCTACTGACACTGCAATATGCTCAGCTGTGTGTCAAGTGCCTGTCCTGGATGAGGAATGCTCAGAGGCAGTACTTTGTGATGCATTCTGGGGTTACAGTGTCATTGTGATGAGTTGATTGCTAGAATGAGAACATGTTTGTATGACTTTACAGAGCAGGTTTCCTACCACAGAATATTGCATTTTTTTATGTGAGGTAGGGGAGGTCAAACCCCATTGTACAGATGGGCACACTGAGGCTCAGGAAGTGATGCAACTTGCCTAAGGTCTTTCAATAGGTAAAGGGCAATTTTTCTCTCTCTGTGATTTCTCTTAGCAGTCCATGGCTGTCATTGTTAAGAGAGGGTCTCCTCAGTGTTGTCCTGCCTGCCTCACTCACACTTCTAGTGTTCTTCTGCCTCAGCATCCCAAATTCTGGGACTATAAGTGTGTACCACCATGCCCAGTACCCACAGCTTTTAATTTAAATAGTGACCACTTTTTTGAGGGTGAACTCTTGGTACCTTAGGAAATACTTTAAGAAGGGAGTAAGTAAAGCTGGCACTTATTCTTTGTTAAAGCATGTTTTGATAAATTTCCAGAGTTCCAAATGAAAACAGATACTAAAGACCGGAAGCTTTATCAGCATTATCACTCATCTAATAGCTTGTTGGTGGTGAGCATATGTCAGCTGTGGTACACCTAGTATATACCAACATATAATAATAAAAATATAATAAATACATAACTGGGGCTGGAGAGATGGCTCAGTGATTAAGAGCTCTGGCTGCTCTTACAGAGGACCCAGGTTTGATTCCCAGCATCCATATGGCAGCTAACAGCCATCTGTAATTCCAGTTCCAGGGGATCTGATGCCCTCTTCTGACCTCTGAGGGCACTCATGACACAGGTGCACTTATACACATGCAGGCAATACACTCATGCACAACAATAAAAATAATAAATAAAATATTTAAAAATATAGCATGCACATGTGGCTATGCATATGGGTGTATTCAGGGGCCCTTAGTGAATCTAATGTTTGTTTGTGTAGGTTTTTTAAAAATTTTTTTTTTAATTTTAAGACAGTGTCTCACACTGTAGCTCAGGACGGCCTGGAACATACTTATAGTCCAGGCTGGTCTCAGACTCACAACAACATTCCTGCTTCATCGTCGCCCACCCCACCCCCATCAAATGCTGCTAAGGTTTATTCTTTAATTACTGTTTCAAAGCCTTTAGATTCAAAATGTAGGGCCCTCACCACCTCCCAAGAAAACATCCCAGCCTTTTCTTTCTGTCTTGTTTTCCCTCTAGGGATGGGCAAACCTAGAAAATGGCAAAGAATTCCTATACACCTATGTGAATTCCTCAGAGATCATGTATGTGAAGGTTCTCGGACATGGTCTGGAGGTTTTTTTGTCTTTAAGTTTGACCAACTGATCCACGAACTACCTATTCATTCACAGATGTGTGTTGGGCACCTTTGAGTTTGTGTATCTTGAAGTACATGCAAGAAAAATTAACACTTGGTCCCTGCTGTGTGTTAGAGTCTAAAAATGTGTCCCATCTGTAGAGGTGGATAGAAGAGTTTTAGTTACCCCTGATGCTTAAGACACATCTGTGTAAGCTGCACAGTCCACTATGTTTTAGGCACACAAAGGTACTACAGCAGGAATAGTTAAGTTACAGTGCAATAATAGAGCCTCAGGAGGGAACGAATCATCAATATTTTAGAGCACTCACCTGGGACTTAATCAGTTTCACATATGTTGGTTGGCCGGCCCCATAATGCCACCTCATATCTTAGAGCAAAGGCAGGAGGAAGCAATGGGCATAGGGGAGGTCCTCATGTCTCTTACCCTGAACAAAAGGCTATTTGGAATTTTCCAGGTGGGCCCAGAATTATGTCCTTCTGTAAGAGGTAGGCAGCAGATAGGGACTTAATGCCAACTAGCAGGTTCCTCTGAGCACTGAGGAGCCCCAAAGATGTTTTCTGCCCCTGTCCCCTGTCCTAATGTGCTGTGACTCAGCAAGAAGCTGTGGCTTTGGTCAAGGTCTCACTCGGGCCCTGTGGGCCTTACAAGGTCTATGTGGATGTTAGTGTGGGGCTACTTTTATCTAGTTCCCAATTCACTTCTGTGGTCCCTGATCTCCAGGCCCATTTCAACTGCCCTTACTTTATGGTTATATTGTTTGCAGTACTTACCATGATGAGGACACTGGAGGTGGATGGTTGGAATAGAGCTGTGTCCAGAGAGACAGGAGGAAGTGCAAATAGACAGGCAAATTGCAATCTCTAAGAACACTCCAAACTTGATTGTGTTTCTCTAGTACTTAATCTGGTAGTATGCTCTACTCCAGCCTGTAGCCCAAGCTGAGCTGTGTCACAACAAGGTGAGAAGAGATTCACCCCTGGTGCCAGGCACCTAAACCAGGACAGAGCTACAAATGCTCTAGTCTCCATTGCAGAGACCTCAGGGCCCCAGAAGTGAAATGACTTCCCCATGGTCACATGAAAGCTTTGGCAGAGTGAGGGCAAGAAACCTTGGGTTTATTTGTTTTGGTTTGTTTTGTTTTTATATCTCATCCAATTTCTTTCTTATGATCCTCCTGTCTCTGCATCTTCATCATAGTCTACCAGTGTACCCCACCACAACTGGCCCACATTCTTTCTCTATACTAGATACTAAAAAATGTGGATCCTTCCCAAAGTCTGCAGACTTTTCTTCCCTTTCTTCAGGTTCCTCTGAAATCACTTAGCTTGAGATTGCTTTCCTTCAACACTGGCCTTTGTTTCCTTGTATTTCATCCTGGCATCCAGGAATGAATGAGGGCACTTGGGAGAAGTG